CCCGCCGAGGTCCAGGTGGGGAAGGGCTGGCTGAGGACGCAGGCCTGGCCGTCCAGCGGGTCACGTCTGGTGGCCCAGCCCTGCGGGCCGGAGCCGGACCATGCGGGCAGGGGCGGCCACTCAGGCTTCCCACGAGGCCGGGGAGGCTCTGGCAGAAACGTGTCTGTGGGTGGCGGGCGCCGTGGAACCGTGCGGGTCCCGGGGTCCGTGAGGTCTCCAGTGGCCACGTGCTGTGGTGTGAATGTCGTGTGCCCCCCAGTCATGTTGCGATCCTCACCCCAAAGGCGGTCTCAGCAGAGGGGCCTATGGGAGCGCCTGCCCCCTGAGTGGTCGGGGCCGCGCCCGCCCCCCGTGTGAGGACAGGACCCTGAGGGGCCGCTGTATGGCAATGTGGCATCTTGATCTCGGTCTCACAGCCTCCAGAGCTGCAGCCACGGACACCTGTGGGCCACCCCACCCCCACCCCCACCCCCGGCTCTGTTACAGCTGCCGAGCTGGCCCAGACGCCGTGGCGTCTGAAGGGCGGAGGTGGCCCAGGGAACAGCCGTGGCCACATGACCTTGGACAGGTCGCCATCCTCTGAGCCTCACTGTGAGGGGCTGGCCGTGCCCTGACCCGGCACCCGTAGGGCGGAGGGACGCCGGGCGCTGATGGGGTGTCTGGGCACCGTGCCTGCTCCGTCCTGCGGTGTTGGGATCAGAGCTGCAGATCGGAGCGGCGTCCAGGGAAGCCGCGAGCACATTGGGTTTAGACTCCTCCCTCCCGGCCTGTCCTTTCATGCAAACGCTTCACCCCTCGGCGCCCAGCGCTTGCACGGAATGCCCGTAGCTTCTCATCAAATTAGACGCGCTCGCGGCTTCGCGACGACCCTTCCAAGTGCATTACAGGCGGCGCCTCAGATGGCCGCGGGGGGAGGGCTCTGCCTGGGCATGAGATGAGCCAGTGACTCCCTCAAGCCTTCCAGCTGGTGCGGGCAGCTGGGGTGCAGGCTGGGGGGGCAGCTGGG